CACATAAACAACAACCTTATGCCACTTCGTAATAAACCGTAAACAAAGTTTTCCCGCAAAATACAATTACATCAGTGAATTTCAAATATTTGAGTTATATTTTTTGAAAAACTTTTAGATTTGAACTGAAACATCCAATGGCTAAAAACGGAAAAAAATTACAAAAACAAAAAAAGAAAAAAAACAAGATGAAACACGAATATTAAAGTTGCAATCTCGTTACTGTTTCCAGAAAAACCTATACGTTCTTGGCCGTACACATATGTCTTCAAAATTTTGCTTTTTCGATTCTTATAAACTACTGCTATTGCTACAAATCAGATTTGAACCAACTTCATTCTTATTTTGTCTACTTGAATCAGAAAGCTTGATAAAGAGTCCAGTTAAATAAAAATTATAGCAAACTTAGACAGAACAACATACACTGCCAGTTCAACCATCAAAGAAAATTCGTCATGAACTATAAAAGTCAGTTACAACGATTTTCTTGTGTTTCAATAATTTTTAATAGTTCTCCTAATCCAATAGTCCGATAATCAATGAGTGAATTATTCTGAAACTTTCTTGTAAAAAAAAATTAAAAGGAGAATTTTATAAGACTACCATAAAATTTATCGGCCTTTCAGGAGGCGTATAAAAAATAACATAATGTTTCTTTTTTTTACAGTTAATCAACTCAACTAAACCTCATAATACAGCGATTTATCCAAATACATAACACATACTTATCTTTTGGAGTATCGACGGCACTACAAATTGTCACCAACAGGAAGTTCAAGGAAAAAAAGCAACCCATATCAACAGACTACCGTACACAAAGTTGAATCCTTGCAATAATACTGCAAGTCACTCAATTTTTGTGCAGCATTTAACCTTTTTTTTTTTTTTAAACCGTAATAGCTCACCAATATCTTGGGTGCTTTCTTTATAAGAAGAAAAAACGAACGATAAAATAGAACAGAAAATTCACATATAATCCATGAAACTTTAATAGGAGCATTTCCATGAAACTTAAATAGGAGCATTAAAAAATTATCTTTAATAATATGAGCGAACCCGTTATAGCAATAGGATTACTGAAACATAACTATTAAAGTCTCTATTGTTTCCAGTAAAAAAAATTCCTCGTTTAAAAAGTCGCTAACATTTATCAAATTGACTTCTATTTTTTTCTTTTTTCACATTAATTAAATTGAAAATTAAAGGATTTTTTTCAAAAATACTGAGCAGTCAGGAAAAACAAAAGTAAAAAACAATAGAGAGTTGAGTAAGCAGTAAATTGATATACGGCTATTGCTGTCAACTTTGAAAATGAGTAACAGCAAAATTGAATTTGCAGGAAATTTAAAAATTTAATTCTTGAAACGAAAACTACTTTGTTGGCTTTATGCCAAAAACATGTTATTTGTTTATATTAAAATCATTATGTGGTTATTTGGTCATTCACCAATAATAAGCCTATTTATGTATGTTCGGTTAATTGTAAGGGTTGGATGGTAGATGCTGTATCACGCAAACCCGTAAAATGGAGGAAGATACTTTATGAAAAACAACCATTTCCTGACAACTATGCTGGTGGCGCCGAATTCCTGAAAGAGTTGAAGACAAATAGTAAGTTTTTGAAAAATTACTCTTTTACTGTACGGTATCGTTTAAGTTGCTTAAATGCTGTTCTGCATTGTAGAACTCTGAGAATAAGTTCGCTTGAAAGAGTTTCAAATTACATTCCTCTAAACCGATGTATCATTTGATACATAATATTTCGTGCTATTTGCACCTTTTTTCTTGTTGTAAATTTGGTTGAAAGTTTACGCGTTTTACTGCTTTCCTAAACTAACTGTTTTCAAATTACTTGGCCAGTTTTGATAACGACCCACTTTTTAGTAAATTAAGAAATCTTTTGGAATTTTTTATTGTTAAAACAAAAATTTTTAGTGGCTGTTGTTAAATATACTTGGCTAGAAGCTGCATGCGGAGCCAGTCGAGTGATTCTACATGAGAATGCTATTGTTGCTTATATGGTAACTTTTGAAAATCTGATGGATTTACCGTCCAACTCATGTTACGCTCTGCTTGCTGTGTTCTCTGTTGTAGCAGTCCTTCTTTATGTTATTCATATACTTATTAGCGGATTCGCGATTTCGAGAATCTGCGATCATTTTTATAGTCTTATAACTTTGCTACTTTTTGGCTATGCACTTACGCCCGTCATCAGGTTGGTTGAATAGACATGGAAATTAGTAGCTACATCTTTTTGTAGTTGAGCGAAAAAATTCATAACTTCCTCAAGAGTTGTGTTTCAGAAAAACTCTTGTTAAGTAACTTTTACAAACTTTTCTGAGACTTAGTTGCCTTTTTTATTTTATTTTTACAATTTTGTAGTTTTTAGAGAAAATATTTGATTTTTTAAACACATTTTTTTTTTATTCTCGTTTCAGCACCCTCACTACAACTATTAGCACAGATACAATTTATGCAATGTCTATATCCCTTTTCATGTTCAGCTTTATTTTTCACGATTATGGTTTGGATGCCGCAATGTAAGCTTTTTTACCAGCAATTTGCACTAGTTTAAATTCTATAATTGATTTGAAAAGCCTTTTAAATTTTTTACTGAAGCCAGTACATTTATTTGAACCTCGTCTTGTTTGAAGAAAGCTGTTATTATTTAGAGTTTCAGAAGCCTTTTCTGTAAACCTCTCCCTTGCCGCTTCAGTATGTTTAGTTTCCCGTATCGAGTCATGCGAAATAGCATTTTGTTTACTAGCCTTTTCAATGGCACTTTTCTCCTACTGGCCAAAACTGCGTAATCGACTTTGCCAACGCTATGATTTGGTATCTTTGCTTATGGTTTCAATGATTTTCCCAGTAACTCTGTTTTACCTCTACAGAACATCTCCACCGCTATCTGCTGTCCATTTATTCCTGAACTTTTTTATCGTACTTGTTGCTCCATGGATACTGGTAAAAATGCAACCGTTGAAAAGGTAAGGTCATTGCAGTCAGAAACTAGAGAAAAACTTTGGAATACTCTTCACTTTAATCTTTTTTTGAGCTCTGTTATTTTCATTTTAAATTGTGGGTCTCTTATCTATTAGTAAAGCGTCTAGTTTAGTGAAAATTTCTTGAGTTTAATGAAGAAGTGGAGTTTATTTGGGGCATATTTGTACTTTATACATCTGGTGGCGATATATGGGCAAAAATTAGTCAAATATCAACAAAACTTAGAGAAAATTGAGAATCGCAAAAGACAGAAATGCACAACGATATCAAATAAGTGGAACGATAATTAATTTGTCATCCGTTTTTAGTACTATAAATGGGCCATGGGACGAAGTTTGCCCAGCTAAAGCGGTTTACGTCTCGGATGATCTCAACCCATACAAACTTTCACGATGAATTTCTCACCGTGACTGCTCAACTTCTACTTTTCCAGTCTCTTGTCATGTAACTTAAATTCGAAGATCAATAATTTATTCCATTTCTTAAAAAACTGTTAGCTGATAAATGTCCGCTATGCAATCACCAGCCGCCCTACTTTGCTATTTAATTATTAGAAAAATGGAGATATACTCCCAGTATTTTTGCTCAGCATAAGGTACTTTTAGTTGCTTCGTTGCAACTTAGTTGTTGAGGGGCCCCAAGCCATTAACTACCCGGAGTAAAGTGGAAAGATCGAATAGGTCAAGATTGAAAAAGCCAATGTATAACAGCGTAACAAACTAAGATCTGACTGACAACCCGCTAGAATACTGAATGAAAAGAAAAAAGGGAAAAAAACGAATTGGCGAGGCAGTAGTAATACGAGAACCGTATTCGAAGGCAAAGGAACACTCAAGAGGCATTTGGTAAAAATTACAGCAATTTTTAAAAGCTAGTTTCTGTACAATGAAATCTTACCATGGAGTTACCATGTTGTGTGAAGGAAGTGAATGAAAATTTTCCAATCAAGAAAGACTGCTTAACCATTAGCAGAATTGAGAAGTGCAGCAGCAAGTGAAAAAGTTATGGTAGAACTGTTAAAACAATCAAGTAAAAAAAGTATTTGAGCAATTTTCTAAAACAGTGCTGAAATTCAGCGAGAAGTATCAGTTTTGAAGAGGAGGGCACATTAGAGATTGGTTTCGTTGAAAATAAGGTGAGCGTAGGGCTTCAGAACTAGTTATACGGAGATGTGGACTGAAAGTCAGCATCGCCTACAAATGTTTTCTTTTAAAACAATGAACGTCCTTCAGACTTCACTATTCCATTCCAATAATTCCAAAGCCTGAGGGGTAAAAAAACCTAAGATTACCACCAACCTTTACTAAATTAGCAGCGTCAAACGGGAGTTTTGGAACAATCCTCTCAAATGGTAACCGTGGGTACGTTGTGAAAGAAGAGCGTTCGACAACTGAATGTTGTGGCCATTCAGCAACTGACGGGGTACCCAATTTCCTAAAAGACAAACATGCTGAAATAGGGAACCATCGCAAATTTCAAAAAGTGCTTGAAGTTTTTTTCGTTGCCATTTTGTCCCGCATTTACAGCGTCTAAGAGATGTCGTTAATGCATACTGGAAGATGGTTTCCAGCTGCTGTACTTCTGTCTGAGCAGGAAATAATGGTTGCCTAGAATATAGTTCTGCAATTATGCATCCTGCTGCCCAAATATCCACTCCACTGTTATATGAGCACTGAAGTAGCACTTCAGGGCTGCGATACCAAAGCGTGACTACCTGGAAAATTGACTTGTCTCAAGCTTACTCGTATTAAAACTCCACAGGCAGATGTCTAAAAAACCTCCTGTTCCTATTTACCTACCAAGGTAGTAAAAGAAGAATGCATCGAGTAAAAGCGTGAAAGACCAAAATCCGCAATTTTGACTGTTTGATTGCGATTGATCAGAATGTTCTGAGGTTTCAAATCCCGATGGATCACATGATGTGAATGGAGAAAATCAAGGCCCATGATAATCTGGAAACGAAGATGAGCTTTGAACAAACCTATAGAAAGAGGTTTATGAATAGCCTTTAATTTAAGTGAAATTTACAGAGCTTGGCAAAAGGGATTTGACTGTAAAATTATACCTGTTTTGCAAAATGCCTGCACTGGAAGTCGCCCATATCACGTGGGATGTCACGCAAAAATTCGTACAAATCCCAGTCGCACTTCTCGTATACGACACTCAGGCACATTTCATTGTCATTATTGGAACAGTGAAAAACATCATGAAGCCTGTAATTTTCCAAGAAGTTGAGTCCAAAAAAGTTTCTCTAAAACCCTATTTGAACCTTGATTACGATCCATAAAAATTTCCCACAATATATTTGCTTAAAATGAAACTCTTTATTAAACAAATAAATTTTCTATAGTTGCCTGAATAGGTTCAATCACGTTAAAATTTGGTTATGTACAAGAGTAAAAGACTGACTTAACGATGTTTGGATGACCAATCTCGTGAAGTTTTTTCAAAGCTGAAATTTCTCTGATAATACTTTGCGGAACTCCTTCCTCTGTTATTTTCACCACAATTTTTTTAAGGGCGTACTAAACAAAAAAAAGATGATCTTGAACAAGAGTCGTTATCAAGTTAAAAGACGCAACTGGACTATGAGAATAATTCAAAAATATAAAATAGTTAACAGAATAAGAAACAGAGCGAATTTAAAACCAAAGTGTTCCTTAAAGCATAACAGCTCCTTAACCTCCTCTAAAACATGCAAAAAAAAGAAATTACTGAAAAATTTCTAAACAGTATTACAAGAAAATCTTTGATGCTGCTCAGGAAAAACGAAGTGAGTTCAATTAAACAGTGACTCGATGATTCTCACCTCCTTTCCAGTATGTACATGCGTTGCTAGGTACACGATGCCATAGGCTCCCTTGCCAATGATCTCACGTTCCTCATATTGGTTACCCAACTGAAGGTTTTGCCGGACATCTAGCCGCTTCTCGCCATTTCTTGCCATCTAAAAGACTACCATTTTAAAAGTTATTTAATTTTTCAAATTCAATAAAACGACTAGAATATGTGATCTATTCTTTTATACACTTTATACTTTCGCAGAACTTTTATACGAAACCTCAAAAATGATCGAGAAAATGACTGCTGAAATTACACAAAAATAGTTGCTATGGAACTGCCAGATGAAAGAACTTCGATAACAACTTTATCTAATTATTCTGAATACACTGTAAATCATCTGTTAAGAACACAGATGTGACTACACCATTTCTTTTGATTTTGAAGCCCTTTCAAAACACCGCAATAGCATCCAATGTGGAATGTTGAATGTCACATACAACTCACAGTACTACTGATATGCAGTTAATGATAATCAAATTCCCGCATAAAGTACCTAAATAAAACGTTTATGAGTCGTGGTTTACTAAAACAGACGGGGCCCCGACCAAGAAAATTTTGTTGTGCCAGTTCAGATTTGCCGGAAATGGTGAATAATACTGGAAGACTGGAGCAACACCGAAGGCACACTGCAGTTCTTGATCTCTAATCTCGCAATCAACTTGGTGCCTTTGCAACAGCCAAAGTCAGCTGAACAATCGGTGATGTGCCTTCGTGCCACTTCCGCTCATTTTGAACCTTCCTTATCAACGCGCCAATACCAAATGTTTATAAGCCAAATCTGTTCTCCTACAGTTTTTCCCTTCACGCTTCACTTTTCAGCTTTGCAAAAGTTACTATTTCAGTGGATATCGTGAGAAAAACATTTCCTCATTGCAATCTCTAAAGGACAAATAAATCCGGCAAAAACTCTCCGCAAACAAGCTGAATGAAAATGAACGCTGACCAAAAGAAAACTAACGCACAGAAGACAAAATGAAAAAGGTTTCTGTTTTTAAACAGATATTATGGTAAAATTTAAAATCTTAAACAGATATCCAAAAGAATTTTTTTCTAAAATAGAAACTTTGTAATGAGACAACATCAATAACAAGAAAAAAAAACAGTATATCCATCAAAGGCAATGAAAATATCGTAAATTATGCTGGCGTTTACTGCACATAGTTAACTCAAACTAAACTGAATTAATAGCCAACTCAGTATTTTAGTATGGCATGAAGAAAAAATTTCATAATCGTCATGACTATCATTGTCAAGACCATCATCTTGGAAACATGTCACAAAAAAAAAGAAAAAAAAATCTATATGCCAAGCAAATTGAGTAAATTATTCCAACACAAAAAAAATGTCATTTACGATAAATGCGCGTAAAAAAAGGGAAGAAAGGCGTACTCTCCGAGGGGAAGGAGACAATGACAGTGCTGTAACGTAATGAACGGCGGAGACATGGCCGGCAGACAGCCACCACTGCTGCCGTTGGTTGGTGGTGTTGGTGCCGTTGTTGTTGCTGCTGTTGGTGTTGCCGTTGTTGCCGCAATTGACGACGTTCACTACGGGAAAGATGTATACAGCAAAGGAATTCCGACTTCACGGGGCAATTTTCACTCATTGTTATCAACACTGTGTATGAGGATACCCAGTGGTTGTTGGATGGTTGTGACGGGACGATGGAGATGGCGATGGAAGGATGACCTCGAAACGTTTGTTGTTAACGCTGTGTGTTCAAATCTCCTAAGCGCAATTAGTGATTGTCGACTACTATCAAACAAACATACCAGCAACAACTGCAACCATTCGGCGGCTATATCTGACTCCTTAAGTAGCCACAGTAATCGTCTGAAAATCTGTGCAACTATCTTTTTCATTTTTTTTTTTTTAACCTTTAAAATATGCGTAATGCAGACGACTCCAAAACGTCCATGAAGAGTTACTTTACGCTATTGTAAAAAACTTCTTTCTTGCCCCCCCCCCCCTCCCTCCCCAATCTTTCTTATAACGAATTTGTAATAATTCGCTCATAGTTTGCAGCAATATTTACAGTAGTCGATGCATTGTAAAAAA